AAGACATAGCATTCAGCACAAGAACGCAATGTAACGCAAATTCACCGCCTCTGAGAAACGCACCCTACGCCTTCGCCCTCCCCCCCCCCCCCCTAATCGAAGCGGCATACATCGTTACACATCACGACCGTGCACAGGTTTCAACTTTTTCACATGCGTGCGCCTCAGTTCTGCCCTGTATCAACAATATCGACATGTCTGCGACCATGCACAGATATAACGGTGAGAGGTCCTATCCTATCGCGAGTCCGATGGAACGATGAACAAGGTACAATGAACCTTGCAACACGCACCAAAATTGCGATGCCAGACTCCGCCACCTAGTCGGACCAGCCGCCACACCGTGTCTCCTGTTATATTGCTGTCTGCATGCCTTGGCGCTGCTCGTAGGCTGCTGCTGAGCCTGTCGAAACGCCGTAGCGAACAGGCGAAGCTTCTCGTGAATGAAGTCATGCAAGTGGCGGCGCTTAGCTTGTATCGCTAGGTTTGCTTTAGGCCTATGCGGATACCTCAAAAAGCAAGTGAAAAGGGGCGGAGACGAGCCGTGTTCGATGTCCGTCCATTGGCTCAGCTGGTTAGAGGTCCTACGTTCTGATCCATCCACTCTTGGCGGTGAGGGTTCGAGTCGATTTAGGCGCTTGCTATTCGCCATTGACAAGTACGGCCTGTGGTCGGTGACAGCGGCAGCGCGGCCAGGTGACGTCAGAGGACAGGACGGACCGTGACGAGCATTACGGCACGTTAAACTTTCGCCACCAAATTCTGGCGTTGAACTGGAATTGCGCGATCGGATGGTAAGGTTCGGGGCTCATACAACAAGCACTGCTTAGCGTGATCTCTGATCCCAGTATCCGTTCATTCAACAGGTTCAGGTAACATGTTTTTAAAAATATGTTGTTGTTCAGCGAGAATCCAGTTCATGTTCAGAGCTTCTCCCGGCCTGAGCCATGGCAGTCAGACAGCGTGAACAGCCGTCGTTTGATGTTTAGGTGTCTTCACTCAATTTTACCAACGGCTTCGGGATGATACCCTACGCTGGCATGTGTCTGCACTCCCAAACATTCGGGAAAGTCCATGACATGAGAGTCATCTAGCATCACTTTGAACTGTTTATGTGGGGAAGGGGGGGGGGGCAAGCAACAAGAAGTGGTTGGAGAGCTCTTCAACAAAATCGTCAGCACGGCCAGAATCGAGTGGATAACGCATCAGAAAACCCGAAAATTTGTTAACACATGATCAAGACCGCCGTTCTTCTGGATGCAACCCTCTTGGCACCCTCAAAACGTCGATGACAGGCGTCGCATTGGGCCCATTGGCTTGCTGTTGTAAGAGAGGAGGACTGCGCACTCGGGTGCTCTTTCTTTGTGTGCACAGTGCGTAAGAGCTCACGCAGTCCTCGCAGCCTGCTTTGATTGCCTGGTACCCGGCACGCCTGCTGAGCTGGTCGCACATTTTCTCATAGCCGCCATGGGCGTGATGCGAGGTGTTCTAATGAGCATAGAACAGCTCAAAGCGCTTTGTTAATGACCAAACAATGCGCCCATGGCTCGCCGAGTCGCCAGGGGCCGGATGGCTGTCCTATCTCTCAATCGGAAACCGCCGGCAGGCTCGCGCTTCAGGTATACTGGAGCAAAACGCTGTTCTGGAACCAACACCTCTCTTTCTCCTCTCCTCCTCCTCTCTAACTCCTCCTGTTTTACCAAAGGCAAGATGAAGAGAACCGCGACAACTTATTGTGAGTCAACCAATGGGATATGGCTCGGCAATTTTTATCGTCGCCAATTTTTATCGCGCCGTTGATACCACCGCAAGGTTTCTGGCTCGAGATTCAACTGCATCCTCAGCTCGAGTGTCCCGTGCTCCGCGCGCCTCCCCGGACCTTGACCTAGCCAGGCAGAGCTCCTGGGTCCGGCTGTCAGGGGTGTTATGCCTCTTGAGATGATCAAAGCCGCGGCAAAACCAGCACTTTACGGTCCACCGTCTGTGTCCGCTCCCTGGTGACGGCTCCTCTCCATCAGCTTGCGTGTCATCAGCTGCCTCCTTCGTGGCGCCATGGTCGCCCGCCGCTGGGAGAACCACCGCGCCGGCCCGGCCGCCGAGCTCACCGGTACTCAGCGGCGCGGGGTCCGAGTAGGCGAGCGCAGACCGCGGTGTTGTCCAGCGATGGAGTTGGCGATCCGTCACGCCGCTGACGTACCCGGTCAGCGCTCGGTCGCCTCGGTGACCAGCTGTCGCAATGACCGGCTGCCCCCCCCCCCCCCTGCCGAACGATCCGAAGAGTACGACCTATGTCCATCCTGATAGGAGTCTGTCCGCTGCGTTCCAGTCCTGCACCCGCAGAAGCCGGAGGCAGCTGCTGGAAACGGTCGCGAAGAGCCAGTGGCTACCGCGCCAAACTCCGCCCACTGAGCCGTCTTCTGATAGCGTTGACTGTGCGAGGGCTCAGCTTCGCAGGACTGGACGAAGCGTTCTGCTCTCGTCAGCTTACCGACTGCTGCCTCGTGCAATGCCATGCCCTGGCGTGAGAGCAGGCATTGCTCACCCAATGAGAAACTGACGAGGAAATGATGACAGAGCGCTGATTGGTATGCCGGCACGCACGTCTTCTTTTACACCTCCCGCCGTGTCACAAAATTTCGGCCAAGCGTCATTTACCAGCCTCTTGATGACTAGAGAACAGTCCAACGCCGACATTGTTCCCCTTTGCACATCGCTCAGCTGTGCGGCTGCCGTTTTGGGCCGCGCAGACCCGAAAGCTTCAGTGAGAAGTGACGCCACGCTGTCCAGCTCGCAGCGCTGTCCACAACCTCCATCGCGAGCCCGCGTCGTCTTATCACTATAATGCCTGCAAGCTTGTCGGCATGGTGCTGCCCAGTTGCGCCAAGCGCCGGCATGGCCGGATGGACGCGTCTGGTGACGTTGAACAGTAAAAAACGGTTAAGTCTGCTAAAGACACCGCTACCGTTGGCGTACGGCCTGTGACGTTCTCCGGCATCTTAAGACTGCCGCCGTTGTTCGCAATCATCGATAGAATGACACTTACGCCACTGCCACCATGTTGCGATCGTCCACGAGGGGCCCAACCACGCGCCAGGTGTCACGTGACCAAACTTGTATTCCTCTACCGGTCTCACCCTTCATCGCTGACCTCGAGCCATCACGTCACCAGGGGCTAGCAGTGGCGGACGCAGCCAACCGAAAAGGAGCGTGTGACAATGCCGAGCTCGAAGGGCGCCAAACTGCGCGAAAAGCGATGGCACATGATCAAAGAACTTATGTGCACGCAATATTAAAGTCATGCATGATATTCACATATACGCCCACGTCTCGGAGATGCAACGAGAGAGTGTAGAACACCGCTCTGATGTCTCCGCTCGTGCCACTGAAGGGACGGCCGTCGAGCTGCTGTGGCTGCTGCATGACTGAGTTCAGGCGACAGTCGTTCGTGTCTCGCGCATCAAGCGGTTGGAACTCGCTGCCTGCAGGCGTGCGAATGTCAGTGGTTGCGAATAGCGCGATCATTAGGGCTATATAGGACTCCTATTCGTCGAGGAGATCGGCGAGTCTTCCCATGCGGCGTGCCACCTTTACCTATGTTACATGTTTTATCTTCTGTGACTGTTGTATGCACAATGACGTGAAAGCTCGAAAATCTACTCTGTTCGAGCTCCTACACACATGTTCATCTATTTAACTTCAGCATATACTTTGTAGTAACAGCTCAAGACAATAAGAACCTCAAGATCTTAGAATAACTGCATACGCAGCATATTCACCCTAGGCTAAACCAAAAAACTACATTATAGAGCCTCGTTTAAACAATATTTTTAGGTTGTACACGTCCTTAAGGTTTAGGCAATGTTCGAGATGGCTGTTAAGCGGTAGGCAATGTTCTCATTTTAAACTCTGTGTTGAGATTGTCTAGTTTTCGGCTTAGCTGCCTGTCTTGCTCTTTTTCATAGTTTCTAACTTTGAACTGAATATGAGATGTTGGGTCCGTGGATGAAATATCTTTGTTGACACCGCTTAATTAAAAAATCTATCTCTAGTGGTATTACCTGCTTAGCTTGAGAACATTTTCTTAACTCATTTGCTTTATTGTTACAATGTAATATTTCACTGGCCGTTTTCGAAACATGACGCCCTTGGGAATGGGCACTGTTTGAAATACTGAGTACCGTCAATATAATTGTCGTATATCACTACAACGTCGCTTTAAGGGAGTGTTGCATGGTTATTTCAACATGGTTATTGCAGTTCAAAACCTAAGGGGTTTTGAACTGCAATAACCATGTTGAAGACCTTTTGGTGCACTTCATAGTTCTGCCCTTCTTAAGACCTAGACCCTTTACTTCCTGAACTACACGCTGAGAAAACAGGAATGGTATTTCGGGGAGAGTATTTCAAGATCACCTTGGTATTCATGACGTCATAACAACGTCATTGAATCCTGCTACTCCATAAGTCACATGGCGGTTAAGGCCGAGAAAACTATAGTGGTCGGGCCGTTCATGTCTGGTTTTCGTGAGTACGATTTCCAGGTACAACAGCCGTCAATGAGCTTTAAATCAATGTTATGCAATGCACAATGATGTGATCAAATCATGACGTATGGGCGAGGATATTTTCCAAACAGAGAATAAGTGTTGTCTAGAGCAGTGTTTTCCGCTTAAAATTATACCAATAGTTATAAGTGAGTTTGTTTTATCCTATCTAATGTTAGCTTCAATATCTTCGAATGTGAAACATTCCCTTTAACCAGTATCCCAAGGTATATTGAAGGTCGCTTACTCAATACAATACATGCGAACGCATAATGCCGTAAACCAGGCTTTGAAGGCTTTTCTTTTTATCATAAATCACATTCTATAATATGATTAAAAATATTGCTATTTCTCTTCTGTTTGGGTGGTATGTGTTGTTTCATAGCACGTGTCGGACGTTGCTTTCTTTTGTCGGGTGGCATTCGTGCTATTATTTTGACATTACCGACCACAGCGGTTGCTTAAGCGATATTAATCATAACAAGAAGTCTTTTCAGATTTACTATGCCACGTGGACATTTCAAGCGTCCGCGAACAGCTGAACTAGTGGCTTGGTTAGTTTCGTTTGAGCTCATTCAAGGCTTGTAAGAATCGCTAGGCCACCAAGCTCAATGAAAAGACATTTTCGTTTTTATTTCGTGCGAGCAAGCGTAACATTGCGATTTAATCATACCACTAACTTGAGCCATCACCATCTCAATACCCATCTTTGGAGGTGCCATTTTCTGAAGATGACTTTCAGTGTGACTTGTTTGTTGGCAGCATTTGACCGACATACCGCAAGATGACGTGGTGTGAAGCGTCATTGTCATATGCAAATATGTCAGGCTACAAGTAATCGAGGAACTCAACATGTATGCACTGATTCACTGCATAATTATGTATGCGATGTTGAAAGCAGTGTGTATGCAAGGGGAACAAGGCTTGAAAAACAACAGCAATCCCCACGATGATTTTGATTGCAAGAGGGGCAACACAAGCCTTGTAGATGCTTCGTACATACCCAATGACTTGCCAAATTATGACCGGATCCAAGAGTGTCAAAAACGCCTTGGTCCACCAAAGAAGGGGGAAAATGTGCAGTACCCAAGACCATGTGCTATGCAGGTGAATGTAAGCATGGCTTTCATCGACTTGGTCGCAGTTGATGTGATGGAGCACATGATAATGATGGTGATAACTTACCGCGAGAAGTGGAAAGACGATAGAATTATTATGCCCCCTGCGCTAAGAAAATCGTGTTCTGGGAAAATACCTCATGAGAAGAGTATACTTCTGAACCCAGCGGACCGTTACCGTCAACAAATTTGGACTCCCGACTTTTATATGAGGGGTATCATGGGAGCACGCACGTCAAAACTGTTACTGAAGACCGAAGCTGTTATCTTGCACGAGAACAACATGGTTGAGAATGTTGTTACGATCAAATTCGCCATCATGTGCCCTATGAAGTTTCAAGACTTTCCATTCGACACTCAGAAATGTAACATCACAATCGAGAGCTACGGGAATTTTGCAGAAGATCTAGCGATCGTATGGGGCTCTCGCAAAGTTAAAGTTCTACCACATTTTACATCCGGCAGCTACAGAGTGTCAGTACAAACCCATGAGCCATCTGGTGTCTTCTACGGTAAAAATGTATTCCCGCAGTTGATCCAGACGGTCATGTTCCGAAGAAGACGCTTCAAGTATCTGCTTTTGATTTACGTCCCCAGCTCCCTCCATTTTTTCATAGCGTGGCTGGCATTTTTTCTGCCAAAAGAAGTGTCTCAAGGGCGTTGCATTATCAGCTGTACAACAAATTTATCGCTTGTGAGCATGCTTTCCATATATATGCGCTACAGTCCTCACGGCGGATACGTAAAGGCGCTGGACATGTGGGTGTTCTGCTCCATCGTGCTTCAGTTCGCCTGCACACTGGATTCCATTGTTGACATCCGGCTGTTGTACTTGGCCACCGGTATCAAGCGGCGGCCGATGGAGGCCAATACGGCTGAAGTGTTGGACTTAGTGACCGACACCTCGCACTGGCTAGGGCGCGAGGTGCGCTTGGTGGAGACGGAGGACGAGGGTGGCACCCTTGCTGGCGCCGCCCGTGACCTGCGCACCGTCGCTCACCTCTCGGCCGGCCTGGCGTCACGAACACACGTGGCCGAGGCGGAGGAGACGAAGCCGCCGGCCGCCAGCGTGTCAGGAGAGCAAACGACCTCCGCTGATGAGACCGACCCCGGCGTGTCAACCACCCGAGGGTCCCGGCACGCGTCCTTTGCTGATGAGACTGAGGCCGGCGTGTCGACTACCCAAGGGTCCCGACACGCGTCTTTCGCTGATGAGACGGATCCCGGCGTGTCTACCAGCCAAGGGTCCCGGCAGGTGTCCTTCGGAGCGGGTACAGAGCCCATACCGGAAGGCGATGAGCAGACAAGCCGGTTCAGCCAAAGTTACTATCAGTTCCTCACCGCCGTCATTGTTTACCAGGAGTGGTCACAGTACACATATCTGGCCGCATACATGGTGTTCCTGGTCGTTTACTGGTGTAAATATGTGCCTGCTATTAATTATTTGCCATCTGTGCAATAAAAGACATAGCTAACAGGAGTGCTGATAATGAAGCGTGCCACCCTGCAGAAAGGTATGCAACCAAGTGATTTTATTTTCCAGCATTTTTTCTACCCGCCACAAAGTTTTGTCCTGCGCTTTCGTCAAAGATGTGACGCCTTTACACGGCATTCTCTGCCATCGTTTGGCATTGCCTGGCATTCCATTGTCATAGTTTAAAACATTTGAAGGTATTCCATTTGCAAGCTCCCTTTGGTTGCCGGCTTCTGCCTAGCCAGGTTAGGGCGGCTGCTTGTTTCACCAATGGGATATGTAGAATGCTGAGCAACATTTATTCACTCTGCACGGATTTATTATTCATTTTCAAACCAAATCAAGCACAAAACACACACACACACGAACATACACAAGAAAACACTGATCAAGTAGCACGTGATGTGCAGCATTAGGAGGCAAGCTCGCTTACTACGCTTTTCCATTTTTCACGAAATGTATTCACCTTTTCATCACATTTTGACTTGCACCTCTCAGATGCAACATAGCTGGATACAGATGCAGTAAATTCATTGATGGATGGGACTGCTGAAGCACATTGACATCGCCAGATGTAACTCCTCCCACGGAGGATGCATCGGTAAATGTTGTCCATCTGTTGTCCCCATATAAATAAAAGACTAGATATGAAAACAGATGCCCGCCGCTGCGTGAAAGCCGCCACCATCTTGGAGGAACAGTCATCGAGTCATCTGTGCGGGTTTCCTGGGTATGGAAGGAATCGACATTCGTTGTTAGCAAATGTTTCGTTGTTTTGTGGCTTTCGTTGGATATATTGCGTGCTAGAATGGTCTCTGTAAGCCACAGACATGCCCAATTGCCCCTGAATTTGTGTTTTTCCTGTTATTGTAGTTCAAATGATTAAAACAGGCTAACTGTTCAAGTGATTCAAATAAACGTTTAAAACGTGGAAGATGTTAATTGCAATTTTAAATTCGAAATGAACATAAAGAGGAATACAATAAGAAGCAGGCGCTGTCAAAATGGCAAATGAGGCAAATAGGAAATCTGTCCTCAATGTTTCAGTTCCAGCCACGGACTTAAGATTAGAATGATCCACAACTGCTTACTGGGATATGGCAGGCCTGTCTTGTCAGTTGGTAGGAGGGTGGGCTGTATGATATGATGTGCAACATCACAAGGTGGTGAAAGGGAGTATTATGGGTGAATAATTCAAACTAATACAGCCTCCTTTGTGCCACCTGGATCAGTTTCTGATTCCAAGGGAAGAAGCAGTATTCAATGGACGAGGTTTCACTCTGAAATGACGGTTGTGTTCTATCAGTCGTGCTAAAAGTACAAAAAAGCAAAACATACGTACTTTTTAAAGAACAGGTTGTCCCCATGTATTTATTCGTGATCACAAGAATCAAAAGGCACACCATGACAAAACATTTGAACGAATAGGCACCTACCGTAAGCTTTTAGCAAACATATATGGCCAGAATTTGGGTGCACTGGCCGAATTTTATTCGCAAATCCGCAACTGCCAGCACTGGAACTGCGATTTTTACGCAGTAACAAACACACGGTGCCAGCATGAGGAACAGAAAACAGAAAACAATTTTTTTTCTCATAAATTTGATCCCAACCCTTTTGAATGGATGGATTTCTGGGATCAGCGCTCACGCTAAGCAGTGCTTATTGCGTGAGCTCTGACCCCCACCATCCGATCGCGCAATCCCAGGCAACGGCAGAATTTAGTGGCGAAAGCTTAACGTGCCGCAATGCTCGGCACGGTCCGTCCTGCCCTCTGACGTCACCTGACCTTTAGCGCGACCGCTGCCACCGGCTGCAGGCCATACCTGTCAAGGGCAAATAGCGAGCGCCCTAAAGCGACTCGAACCCACCCAGCCACGGGTGGGTGGATCGGAAGGCAGGCGCTCTAACCAACTGAGCCACCGGGACGGACTAACAGGAACACAATGTTTCCACAACAATGAATGCACCCTTTGTTACAGACAAAAAGCAGCAGGTAATCAAAATTATACCTGGCTTGTTTCTTAAAAAGCTATCCTACCCAGGAGCCAGCCAGGGAGTTGTTGTGACAGAAATTAGTGATTACGATATGCCTAAGGTACAACCATGAAAAGGTACTCAGCTGGTAAGCCTAAATACAGGAAGTCAGACAGTTCAGTTATGAAGTTGAGAGAGGTCATCAAAAATCAAAACCTTCGGAGCAATGGCCCTAACGACCCCATAAAAGCTCCCTTGAAAGGAAACAATGTGACATGATTTGTGCCTCCGACTGGCACTGTTATCACCATCTGAGCTGCAAGAACGCCAACAACTACAAATTCATGGTCAATTGGATATATATGTGGCTTGCAGAGGCAATGCTACCACACATTTGAGGTAGCATTGCGTCTGCAACAGAGCATGGCCAACACAACCCCAAAATAACGAGGCATTTATCACCAACACCAAACATCCATTCCCTCCAACGTACCAGGCAACCCGCGTAGACGGCGTGATGGCTTTGCCAAGATGACAGCGGCTCTCACGCACTGGCGGACAGCTGTTGCCCTAGCTAGTCCTTTATATCCGTGATCGCCCCACCGGCTGGCAGTCCCCAGATCACAGCGTTTGATGTCAGAAATACTGCTATTTAATATTTCCGCCACTCAATTGCCCAAAACCCTTGCACCATCACGCACGACCAGAAAGTGTGCAAAATGGTCTCGGCATGTTGCTAGTAATGACTGCATTTGTCACCATGGGCAATGTCGAATAAGTGGAGCAATTTATATGGTCAGTATGCAATGCGTAATTTGAATTTGCATTATTCAAAGTCTGCAACCGGAAGTGGTTTGGCACAGTATTGTGCAACGCATTCCAATTATTTGCTCAGCTATACCTGATTTAAGTAGTAATTTGGATCAACCCTTCTCAGGTTTCGAAATGTTAGCCAACGTCTGCAAGCGTCCGTATTTCCACCGTGTAACCTTATGTCATGTTTCCATTGTTGTGGAGGCGACTGAACCGACCGCCTGTCTAGGTTTATAACTTAAAAGTGCCTATATACCTCTCCATGGAAGGAAAAGGCAATCCGACATTTGCATCATATCCCTAAGTCGTCGTGAGCCTTCGTTCTCCTATGTTATTCTCGTCTTTCATTCTGGCAAACCCCATGTGACAGGCATTCGTTTGGGTGTTGAACACATCGTTTCCAGTTTTAATCCGTAGTTGTACCAATACGCTTCGTCCAGAATGTGCACTTCGCTTGCTTATGTAGAAGGTGTAACTTCTTTCCATGCAATTGCTGTTGAGATCTAGCATTTATTTTAACCTTCCTGTTGAAGCACTCATGAATACGGCATTGAAAAACATTTATTTCGCCATCGATTTCAACACTAGACTGAGCAACATCCTTCTACCTACAAGCACACTCGTGATTTAAACATTTTTCACTCCGGGAATTTTAAGGCTAAGGGAATCGTGCGGTATGTTGGACACTTTTAACATTCCTTCACCGCAGCCATTCTCCATTGTTACCATACGAATCTTTGTCATCTTTTTGTTCCATATAAACTTAAAAATCAGTGCGTGTATTTCATACAGCTGGGAGTCTTTTGGGTTTTTATGGGATGGACATGGTGCATATGAGTTGCGATAGTGCTTCAGATTTGACAAGGGAAACCTTTTCGTGAGGTTTGAGATTTCTTACATTCCAAATATTGACACACTGCTTCGGTTTCTAACCTTTACCACAGCACATGAAGTCCACCAGGTTGCTAACGTTGGGCTGCAGCGTCACCCCTAGGTATTCGACTGCATTGGCAATAATAAATAAAACAGTAGTATTATATTCCTTGGAGAAAAAAGAGAACGGAGATGTAGTTGGGTTGATATTTCAGCGACGTGTCCTTATCGAAACAGTAGCAGAAACTATTGTTTCGATAAATAAATAGAAATATATCAATAAATAAATACATAAATAAATAGAAATAAATCAATAGAAATAAATGGAAATAAAATATGTAAAATTTCGATAACAACTAGCATGTTCTTGAAATATCAACCCAACTATATCTCCATTCTCCTGGTTTTCCTCTAAGGAATAATGCTAGTACTACTGCCTTATATATGCGCATAATGTTCCTCGCTAATGCACTGAACAACTTATGTATCGGAATTTGTTATTTTTAACTCGACCGGAAGCGCTTTGAAGCCTTCATACTCGAAGAGGCATTGTGTGTTTTAAGCGCGAGGACTCTCTCGCTTTACTCTTCCACCTGGACTTGCATCGTCAATCGACCTGAGCATCCAAAGCTCACAGCTTCTCAACCATTCGAGATGGTCGGTGGTTTACATGTCAGTCCGTGGTGGTTGGCGAGTTTCCATCGCGGACTGAGCATTTCCTTTCAGCGGAACCCGTGGGTCGGCCCCATCGGTGGGGACGGGAGGGGGGGGGGGGGGTAACTTCTTTAACTTTGCGGTCTGCGGAAATGTCTGTTCAACGAACGTCAGGTAACCTTTGCCGGCCTCCTGGTCCATGGTGGACACAACAGTGTCACAACATTAGGCAGCCCCCGCCGGCCTCCTGTGCATGGTGGACACGGCATTTTCGGAACGTTAGGTAACCCCCGCCGGCCTCCTGTCACATGGTGGACACAGCAGGGTCGGGACGCCGTCTGCGCGCAAGGGGGCCCTTAGGATGCTCGATCGCCGTAGTACCACAGAAAATTCAATCGCGTTCCATCAGACACGAACGGCTGCAAGACACACCATAATGAAATGGAAGCGCTCATCGTGACAAATTGATGTCGGCCAGTAAACTGATACAACCACCTGCATTCAATGTAAGGTCGCGAATCAAGCGTATCACCGGACAGTGCTCATTTGCACCGCGATGCTGCACATTACCGGATGTGATACCTTCATCCAACTAAGGTAACAAACGAGGTCCCCCACGCGTTTTCTGAAAGCTGTGCTTACAGCCATGCAGTTCACGCGACACCAAACTGTATTAGATCTCGCCGCTCAACTTCACATCGCGGGCTAGCGGCTACCGTGCACCCTACCGTTAGCAAGGTCTGGGATGACGTCCGCGATCAGCTCACTGCGGAGTGAAGCAGGGGGCCTAGCTCAGCCTATGATAGGATGTTCAAGTCAACTTCCCCCATCAGTTACTGACCCCTCTGAGTAGCATTTGGGGGACGGGCTGCCGGCCTGAGGCCGTTAATGTAATCTCGGCCAGCCCTTCAGCCCCTTAAGGGGTACCGGCTATGGCGTGCAGAACCTTTTGGCGAATGCGAAAAATCCATGGAAGACCCCTGATCGACAAGTGTCCTTACATGCCAGCACAAAGGTTCGGCCCCGACACAGGGGATAAGGGAACGACCCCAATGACAGCGCGAAGCCCGCCAACCAACTGTACAGAAATCAAAGGCAACGTGGAAGACTCCTTAGCGATCGGATTTACCCTGCAAGCGGATGTATAGGACCCCCGGAGCAGTGCAGGGTCTCTGGACAGCGCAATGGACATTAAAAACTATCAGTCACCATCCTTTCAATGAGCAGACAAGTGTTTTTGTCTGCTAGTGGGCCTTTTTCTTTTGCTTGCGACTGTTCTTGGTCGCGTAGAAGCCCAAAGCCGTCCAAAGAAGTTGCGTTATCTTCGGCCGGCTACGGACCCCTTCAGGGCCCAAGGGGGATGGCCCCGTGCCTCCCCCCCCCCTCTGGATCCGCCCCTAAGGGTAGGAACACCAGCCCCAGAGCAGAACGGTACCCTCCACAGAACAAGACCCGCAATAGCAACCCACCAGCTGAGTGCACACGCCGACTGTATTGTATGCATTGACCATGTATTGAACCATCACAGACAGAACACGACAGACGTACGAAACAGCAAGGCTTATAGATTGGTCCCTGGGTCCACAAACGCTCGCGCCCCGTCCCGCACCGGTCCATCGCTGATGGTTTGAGGGTTACACTCTCCATAAACGAACCATCGAAACAGGAAACACTGATGGCATAGTCGCGTAGGTGTAAACAGCGCGCATGGATGGCCAACACACCAACGTTCTATGCATGCAATGCGATGTAGCTGCGCTGCGGTGGTTGAGAGCAGCCGGAGGTTACGAGTACAAGATTGCACATTGATTGTGCACACATCCGTCCACAAACCTTGCTCATGCTCGCCAGCATACGTTTTTCAGGATTATTATCCCGAACAGTTTGCGCGGGTACCTGACCATCACACCAGCTTATGTGCAGACCTCCGCTGCTGGAGCCAGATGTGCACGCTGCTAACGACGGCAACGGACATAATTCGGTACTTGCCCACTCCAATGTCCCCGTGTGACTTCGCCAGTGGGCTACAGGATACCACAACGCTCCTCTTCCAACAACACTAACTACGCTACATGGCTGCATACGGACAGCACGTTACGAAACACGAACCAGCGCCGCCCACGAGCAGGCGCACCACGGACCCCCGGATCGGGACCGTCCCCGGACCGGGACGGGTCTGCGGTTGGGCGCTCCTTCCGACCGCAGAACCCCTGCCTTGCGGACGGCATCCTCTGGGGGGACGACGGCTGACTGGTGGGTGGGACGGAGGGAGAGAACGGAGGTGCAATAGGCACAGGCGATGATAGACAGCTGTCCACGTCTGTCACGGTGGCTCCCTTCCTCCGAAGCTCCTCCGTCGACTGCCGCGTCGCCCTCGGGCTTCCCCAGAGACTGCCGCGTCGTCCTGAGCCTCTCCCACAGACTGGCCGTTTTGATCAGGGTTCCCCGAACTACCCAGACAATGTTGTTACCGTCGGCAGCTCCGCCACGCCCGCTGCGCCCCCACACAGACCGCCGCAGGCCAGCGAAGCCCGCGTTGGTCCGTGCTGTCCGCGGGTCACCCCGCCCCTCCTAACGCAGGGCGCCGGCCGCATCGCGCCGCTCAGGCGACGGCATGCAGCTTGTCGCGCACCTCCTGCGGCACGCGCTGCACGTACCAGTCGTGCTGCACGCCCGGCGCCGTGGCCAGCACGCCAGCCGAGTTCAGACGCTGCACGGCCGCGTCGTAGCGCAGCTCGTCGCCGTGCATGTCAGTCAGGCGGCCGCCGACCGCCGACAGGATGGCCTCGGGCGCACACGTGTCCCACTTCTTGCAGCCGGGCGAGGCGAACACGTAGGCGTGCGCGCGCCCCTCCAGCAGCAGCAGCACCTGCCCGGGTGCGGCCGGTCACAGAGGCGTTAGGGGTACGGGACAGGCACGAGGGCGAGCGAACAGGCAGAAGATGGGGCGTCATCTGGAGATAGCAAAACTATGGCCCGCCTCCCACGCGTCCAATGCTTGTAAACGAAACAAAACTGCGAGCCCTTCGGACTCTTCCTCTCAACCTAAGGCCGAGCTGACAAACCGTTGTCACACATTTAGCATTATTTCTGGCAACAATCCCACATGGCTTGGCGGTTGCCTCGCCCCGCTCCATCCAGAACGCGCAAACTCAAACGTCGTGCTGACGCCCCCTCCCCTCCCGCCGGCACGCCCACCTTGTGGCCGGCGCCGCCGACCGGCACCACCTGGTCCGGCTGGAGCGCCTGCAGCGCCGCCTGCACCAGGCCGGTGCTGTGGCTGCGCGTGGTGGTGACGATGCGCTGGCCGGCGGGCGGCGCACGCGGCTCGAAGCCGGCCACGGCACCGCCGGCCAGCCCGAAGATGGTGCGCCCCTGCGGCAGCTCGGGCCGCTCGTAGTTGAAGTACGGCTGGTTGATGACGCCGGCGGCGGGCCGGCCGCCGGCTGCGATCCCGATCAGCACCGTCACGTGGTCCAGCAGACCTGCCGTCGGCGGAGAGCGGTCACGGCCCGGCAGTCGGCGGACATGCTGCAGATGGCGGCTGCCGTGCGCGGGCTGGGTCGGCACCGACAGCAGCTCAGTTCTGCGGAGTAGCGGGTGAGCGCGCCGCGATGTGCGCCTCGTCGACTATGAGCATGGCGCCGGCCGATACAGATGCCGTTTTATGCTGTAACACAACGTTATGCTCGAAGCAAACAAGCTGGAACACAAACAGTGGTCATGCGCTATCGGTTGGATATGTTCTAGCACCTTACGTCAGTCCGTCAAGTGCACATCATAGCAAAAACCGACAGAGCATTATCTTATGCTTACTGTAACACCTACAGCTACACCGAACTGAGCACTTCTATATCCCGGAAGTGAGTGTAATAATCATGGTCATAATAAGGTCACACACATGGTGTGCAAAGTTCTTAACCAAGGCAACCAGCTTGGTTGCAAACATCTTCTCTACTTACCTTGGGTGAACTCCTTGGTGCCATCAAGAGGATCCACCCATACAACAATCTGGAAAAGAACACAAAGTAAAACAACAATGCCACAGACAAGGACGTGCAATTTGGGACCAGGGAGACAAAAAAGCGACACTTGATGATCATGATCCTCATATTCAATGCCGGTTACAAGGATCTACAAAAGAACCCAGGTAAAGTCAAACTTATCATGGAAGCGCCCCGGTCAAACAACTCTCACCTGCTCCTCCGCGACACCGGCCCGCTGCTCGGGGTATCGCACGTGCTCGGTACCCCCTCACCTGCCCCTCCGCGACACCGGCCAGCTGCTCGGGGTATCGCACGTGCTCGGTACCCCCTCACCTGCCCCTCCGCGACACCCGCCAGCTGCTCGGGGTATCGCACGTGATCGGTACCCCCTCACCTGCTCCTCCGTGACACCGGCCAGCTGCTCGGGGTATCGCACGTGCTCGGTACCCCCCTCACCTGCTCCTCCGTGACACCGGCCAGCTGCTCGGGGCATCGCACGTGCTCGGTACCCCCCCCCCCCCCTTCACCCGCTCCCGTCAGGTGCCCGGCACCCCTCTCGCCCGCCCCTCCGTGACGCCGGCCAGCTGCTCGGGACACTGCACGTACTCGGTACCCCCTTCACCTGCTCCAGCCAGGTGCCCGGCACCCCTCTCGCCCGCTCCTCCGTGGCGCCGGCCAGCTGCTCGGGACACTGCACGTGCTCGGTACCACCCTCACATGCTCTCGCCAGGTGCCTGGCACCGCTCTCACCTGCTCCTCCGTGACACCGGCCAGCTGTTCGGGGCAGTCCACGCGCTCAGCTCGCGGGTCGGCGCCGTCCTCCACCAGCCAGTGGTCGGGCACCGGCCGGTCATCGGGCTCCTCCTCGCCAATGACGGTCAGACGGGGGAACTGGCGCGCCAGGTTTGCCACGATGCAGCGCTGCGCCGACCGGTCCGCCTCCGTCTGCAGGTCGTTGATGCCCTACCGGTCGGGGAGCGGACGGGTCGGTCAGGCGCTGACGGTGGTGAGCTGCGCGCGCCCGCCGACTGGAGCCACAGTGGCGACGGCAGACAGCGCATGTGGCGCGCTGATGGGGCGTGCAGAGGCTGCGGGAGATGGAAAGCGTGCGACGTCGAGTCAGTCAGCCGAGGTCGGTAGCAAGTGTCCACCCTACGGCCTCTTCACCATGGCTGAGTCACGTATGGTCACGCAGCCACTCATCGCCAACAGTGACCATCTTCGATCACCTCGTACGGCGGTCCGCACCCCGTCACTCGCCGCCCATATAACCCGACGGCTGATGCTAAAGTGCCGTTTAAACGACTCTCCCCTCCAATATGAAGCCTTCATCGTAACGAGGCATGCGCGACACGCGGACATGGCACCCGGACCTGGCGGGCGGCGCCTGCTCCGCCTGCGTACCGTTTTCTCGACGATGCCCAGGTCACCGGCGCTGAGGATGCCCCGGATTATCTCGGCCGCCTTGTCTGCGATGCGCACCGAGGCGGCCATCACCCGCACCACCGGCGGAAGCGGCGCCATCTGGGACCTGCGGCAGGCAGCGGCGCGTCATCAGCACAAGGTCCAGCCACGTGTCGCAGCATAGTCAGCAGTGGCGCCATCTGAAACCCATAGCGGCGCCACAACACGCGCCTCGCCGCACGACAGCTAGATGCCCGGGGACCAAACGCGGCTTAATCGCCCTCAGCTTCTTATTTTCCTCATCATCACAGAAGCTTTGTCACTTTCCTTTCACGTAAGCCGTAATGGTTGGATAAACGTTTCTGACCGGCAGAGGTAGAGATCGTATATGTTGCGCGTGTGCTGCCCGTTTCGCCGCCGCGCGAGCAAGCTGTGGTGCCAACGTGCCTGGGAGATCAGCAGAGCACAACCGTTCTCCCAGCGTGATCAAGGGCTGCAAGCCGCATTAAAATGTTCTGCCAGAGTGGACATCGCAGATAAAAGCTCTTCATCCCCCAAATGGCAGTTAAGCGAGTCGGGTAAATTTAAAGGTCGTGTCTTGTCACCAACAAGTCGTGAAGAGCACCTTATTAGTTCACCCACAGCACCAATTAAAAAATCGCCGAGTATCTCACCGGGATACACTTGGGACCCAAAGTCCTCGTTACGCATAGCTTCCTCAGGAAGCCACATCACCATTCCGTACAGCAGCCTGCGCCCAGCGAGCAATGTTTGCACAACGATTATGGCGCATAGGCAACGTGGCGCAGCCGCAGAACGAACTCGGAAAATACACAAGGAAAATACAGGACAAACAAGAATAAACGGGACAATAAACGGGACAACTGATTATCAAATGTGCCCACGCTTAATGTCTGTCAACATGGGGCATTCCTTCCGGGCCACTTCTGAGTGCTCTTACATTTGGAAGTTTTACTAGATTCATAAATAATCACGTAAATACGTACACGCATGCATGCATACAATGTATACTGGGTATATATGTATATATATATATATATATATATATATATATATATATATATATGTGTGTGTGTGCATGCTTGTATATATACAGGCATGTAGGCGGCATCTAGCTCCCTAGCACTTGTACAAAAAGGCACTGAGAACTTCGTACGCCTTCGTCCATCCTCTGCTTGCCGGCACATTGCACAATCACGTTTCTTTCGTCAGTATGGGAGTATATCAACCGAATTTCCTGGCAAAACGTCTACATCTCGCAATACGTTAATATTCATTTATGTTATTAATTTGTGTTATCGTTTGCGCAGCACAAGTCTTGCCAGTACCAGTTTGGGTATTCGGTTAGAAGGAAAGTCCACGAATTTCGGTATCAAGGTCATTACCATGGGGCACACCAAGCTGATGCAAGCTTCGAGTATTGCACAGTCACCCTTTATCAGCACTTATACCCCACACACGCAGTCAGCATTTATCGGTGCTCACAGCGCGGCCTTTGCCCGGTCACTGCATGAAATTGACTGGCTTGGATAGATTTCCACAGCATGTTCCAGAGGCCCACGACGCAAAATGTGCAGGGACGACAACAAATGTAATACGTCCGAGTGACGTTTTGCTTCTGACTGTTATACCACCCAGCCCCGCACGCCAGCCAGACTTCTGACCGAATGGTTCGAGGATCCCGGCAAAGCGAGCAAAGCGCGAAAATGCCGCTGTAACCGTCTGTGTTGCAGACAGCCGGAAGGATGACGGAAGGAAGGAAGTATGTTGGAGGAGGCAGCCGTCAGAATACAGCCACCAAAGTCGGCAAATAGATGCCCAGTAAGCCCTGACACAAATGAAATGGTCTGAATGAGACTGGGTCGGTCGGCAATGGAAGGGTATCCGAAACGGTGACGGACCCATGGCCGCCAAGGAGTGCCTTGGCGACCAGGTGCAGTAGATTAGGACGTCCCGGACCGGCCCGGACATGAAGGACGACCCATTTCCACGCAGAGTTATCAGGCCTTTGAAGTCGTCCATGATCTCAGGCTTAACTTCAGGGTGTGATTGTCAAAAATTACACTCACAAGGGACCAAAAATATACTAAAAAGGCTAATCCGGCGTTAGAACACCATGCCGTGTCACCAGTACCGACTGGACTCTGAGTCCAAGCACGAGAGGCATCTGAACTGGCCTGGCAGATTCTGCAGCGGGACAACCATGGTAGCGACGGCGCACAGTCGAGTGCGAAAACAAGTTGAGAACCACGAACGCCCGACCGTCACATTCAAAGCCAACATACGATCTGGTCCGTCCACGGCTTCAGCCCACCCATGCGTAGCCGCCATGGTCAAGCTGACCCAATTGGGGATGAAGTCTGGTCTTTGCATACTGACCAAGCTCAGAAAAATGAACTTCCTGGAACCAGAAGTATCGGTGCAGGACTATCGAATGAGACGCCTGCCTAGCCCCAGGGCTAGGAGCAAGCGTGACCGTAGTTGAAGCGACCTCGAGCCTTTCATTCGCGTTAGCCGTCTCTATGCAGGCGTACGTTCGAAACGAATGTAATCACGAGCGGGGCCGTCTGCCGCGCGACCCTGACTTAAACTGTGAGAAAACCAGCGTCTTGTACGGCCCAGCGCAGCTTGATCGTCCCACTTTCTGGAAGCGAATGTCTTAGCAACCATTTATTGCAGGTTCATGCAGTTTTCAGCGACAATACGGGCAATTCTTTGAAAACTGTGCAGCGTACACTGTCGGTCATTGGCATGCAATCCGTTTCACCCAGCTGGGTTTTCCTGAAACATTGCAATATCACCGTTCCGCAACTTCCTATATGAATGAGAGGCTGACTTTTCAACGCTTTGACAAACCCACTGGGATGGGACGCCAAACATGCTTGGTTGCATTAATCTGGCCCTTGGGACCCTGTGCATAATGGAGAATGCTGATTCTGGCATGTGTTCCGACCTGTCTGTTATCCGTTATCTGTCTGTTATCCGTTATCGTATCAACAGACGCACAGAACGGCTTACCGCTGATTTGATTTTTCTCCCGACTATGCGTCTCAAGCGTGCTTGTTTATCGTAGATCTCCATGAAAAGTGTGCTGTTTGTGACATCGCTTCAAGAGCGGCATGCAACTGAATGATGACCAAAACAACGCGTCCAGTTCGACAACACTCATTGCGCTCGTGCGCCCCGCTGTATACCTGGGTTTATCTTGTCACTTACAGGTCTACAACGTTAGCCAATATTACATCCAGACGTCGTTGCCCGTAACCATCCCAGTCAACGAATATACCGATCACCGGCAAAACTTTTTGACATTCCAACTCGGCCTCCCCGTGAGCAAATTCTCTGACTAGCACAGGCCCTATGGGTCTTGTGAGCCTGCGTTCACTCGATGGGCTGGCACGGGATGCTATCAGCAGCCAACTCGGCGTCAGGCACCTCCACTCTACGTTACCGGCGCGCGTCTGTGCGCGGCTGTTTCTTCCGCCACACCACAAGAGCGCACCATCCAGCACACCCCCGGATACCGCAACAGCCATGAACGCCCCTCACCTGGACGACTGCATCACTGCCGGGTGCGGTCCACACGACACAGGTTCAGGTGCGGTCCAACGGCACAGGCTCAGGAGCGGCAGCAGCACCGGTCCACACACAGCCGCCAGGGGACGCGGGGAGCGCGCGGGGAGGAGGCGCTGCCGCTCGGGCTGTCCGCGGCGACGGAGCGGCGCGCGACGCTCGCTAACCGTGACGCAGCAGTCTGGCGCCGGGGCTATCGGTCAGGCGCCGGGCTGGGCGCACGGCAGAGCGCCCGCCACCCGCCCCGGGAGCTGGGCCCGCGCCGGTCGGCTCACTTGCCCGCATTGGCCTCGATTGGTGTGGAGGGGGGGGGGGGGGGGGGGGGGACTGAGCACACCGGCGCGGGAAATTGGTGTCAATCTCAAAAATTGGTTCACACGTCTCGCGCGCTTCGGACTCGCCCATCCACGCACTTAGTCGGATCGAATCCTGGTCTGCAAAGAGTGTTCGCAAAGTGCGGTCGAAGTATCCCTCACAGCTAGGCTACTGTGGATCGGTTAAAAATGGATGGGTCATTTTTGCCACATTGAGATACCTAGCATTTGTTTACTTTACTGGGTGATTCAACCAAACAGACCGCTCAACAGTGAGCAAATATCACTGATCTTTGGCGCTGAAAGCAGAGTAGGCATGATGGAAATCACGAACACCAGTTCCTGAAGTGACCCCTGGGACTCTGGCCATCACCTGATGCTATGGCAGGTCAATTATAGCCATCACAGACAGCTATCTGCGCTATCTGTGATATATTGGAAAGAACACACATCACATTTCATTTTAAACAGCTTCTGACCCCAGCAATGCAGGTCATCTTTTCTTACTGAATGGAGGGGTCAAAAGAACACTATGCAATATCACCATGTCATCACCACAATATCACTAAAATCCCCATTATCCTTAAATTTGCCAATGTTTCCATGTATTTTTGTGTTCAAAAAGATCTTGTGCCATAAGGGGTCAGTATCAGAGCTGCCACAGCAATTATAGCAGATGATAAGCAGATAATCCAAAAGTTGCTGGTGTGTGTCAATCTGTACCTGCCATTGTCAGAATAAAATGCCCAGGGGAAAAAGAAAGAAATGGGAAGAAGCAGACAAAAAAATTGGGGAAACAAAAAGGTGACAGTGAGCAGAACTGAATAGCAAAGAGGTTAAGGGAGGAAAAGTCAGTAGGGACAAAATGTCATAGGGATAAATCTGAACAGAAAGAGTTGATAAAGGAAAAGGCAAACAGCATAAAATTTCCACATGACCCCAAACATGTGTTTCTCAATATATTTTGCAAACTTCACTTGATTAACTATAATATGCATTTACAAGCTTATCTAAACAAACTTAGCAGAAAAGTAGTCAGACAATAAACATCAAAAAGGTATGCTTAATGACTTACCTTAGACACATTTTGTGTGTACTATTCAAGCAAATATGCATTTGTGGCATATGTAACAGTATTTACATTGCATGATTCACAATGGTGTACTTAATTACTCAGCTTGAAAGGGGTGGCTCCAGCCCTGGACTTTGGGAGGGCAGTGTGCCAAACCTGGCAAGGAGCTCATGGTTTGTGTCTCTTGATAGTAGGATTGGCAACATATCCTTGCTCAGCCCACACTGTATTGCAAAATTATACCTCTGATGTTTTGCATGCTTGATGCAGCCTATTCAGCCCATTTAAGCAAGTGCACAGCCTACACTGACAATGCCCAGTAAATACATGTCATATCAAAAATGCTTGATTTGACAAAAATCACAACCATTTTAGCTGATATGCATTATAAATCTCAGCTTTTTAAATTTAGCAGTCCATGCCAATTATGGTGCAGGGACCTTGTGGTTTGAGAAATATTGGCATTGCAGCAGTAACTTGAGTGGTAGCAGTAACTTCTTCCAAACCACTGTTATGAAAAATTTGGAACTCATGCAAAATTTGGCAAAACTGACTTTGGTGTGCAAGAGAGCAAAAGTTGGTGCAGCCATGGCACATTCATCCAACATGGCAGATGAACTTCTACAGAATGGATTGTGGGTTCCTGACAGTCTCCCACCCACAGAAATTACATACAAAGTATAAGCACCTGCAACACACCTTCACAGCTGAAACAAATGTTAAATTCACAGCAAATTTAGAATGGAAAACTACAGGGGAAGTCCAAGTGCCGGTCATCCAACAAGATACCATTCTACATTTTTATGATGCAATCCAGCCATTTTGAATGAGTAAGTTTGTGAGATATAAAGATAGCTAAGCATTACTTGTGTACACACTGATCTCTACCATCTGGTCGCATAATTCCAGGTCAACAGCTGAGTTCAGCAACAATAGAGATGCCACGATACTTGGTATGGTTCATCCTGCCCTCTGGGGTCCCCTTCCCTTCAGGGTGGCCGCTACCACCGGCCGTGATCCATACCTAGCGAGGGATAGAGAGCACCTAATGGGACTCGAACCCACCCCACCTCGGATGGGTGGATCGGAAGGCAGACACTCGACCCCCTGAGCCATTAGGACACACAACTTAAGTGCGAAAGTATTCAAGTAATTTTTTCTCACTTGAGATATAACAGGTACCGTCTCTCCTGAATAAATTGACGCTTATCGTCTATCTTGTTCTGCACTTTCCTCACTCCCCCACCCGGCTTCCCTATTACACATGAGGTGACGAAATCCCACCAAAGAGATCCCTGCTGCCTTCCCCGATTTTGCGCCATAAATGTAACACACACGCAAAATAGGACAATCAAACTATTGCTCTTGTTATCAAGGACTATATTACAGTAGCCCCCCCCCCCCCCCCCCCCAATGAATGCGCGGACAGTCCCGCGTTCTACGACCAGAGGCGTGGTTTCGCAACGTGAGTTGATGGAGAGCAATGAGAGGGTACGCAATCCCGAAATTTGCCCACAAACGAGTTCCTCCCGAACTGCATGTACTTTATTCTAAAATTAGAGCGGGGGGGGGGGGGGGGTTACACGCCACGCCAGGTCGGGGGGCTTCAGCCCTCCAACATAGGAGGAAGAGCTTCGGCCCCCTTTTTTCCCTACTATCGAGACGATAGGCAAATGCCCTTTTCTCCATGGCTGACAAGATAACATTAGCATAACGTCTGCGAAAACACGCAGCTAAGTGAACAACACAACATCCAGATCGCCCCACTATTTTGGCAGTCTCCACATGCCGGACATCGGACATCATGAGACATGCTCGGATAGGCATCATGTTCTGGCATCATGAGACGTCACGTTCGGACATAATGGGACACCATGTTCGGACATTATAGAGCATGTTCAGACGTCATTAGACATGGTGTTGGGACATCATGAGACATCACGTTCGGGCACCATGGGGCATGACGTTCGGACATTATGCGGAGCGGGCGCCACAACAGCTCACATCGGCTATGCTTCGTCGGTGCTTAAACTGTATGTTGTGAAGACAAAACATTATGTCAAAAAACGTGTATTTCGGTGGGAGGGCTTAGGAATAAATGACGGGTGGGGAGCATGCAAACTCGTGCTAATAGCAGACAGCATAAACACCTACATGGCAATTGTTTTTAGAGCCCCAAATTATGAGCTTAAGCCTCTCGCAGGCTGACAATCACGAAAGAAGCATTCATAATTTGTCAACAAGTCATAAAACAATCCAGCGCAGTAACAAAACATAACACGATCAGTGAACCGTGTTGGCAACAGCCGGTCACTTACCCTGCCAGTCACTTCACCCATCTTTGACATAATCCACCAGCGAATCACCAACAACCATCTGAAACCGTCCCAAGTACCAGCAGCCCTTCCTTTGAACATTTACATGCAGATTTGAGGTGAAAGCCAGGTGGTGGCATGCATCAGGAAATGGTGGAAAGGACGCCAACACACTGCGAAAATTACATAGTTTTTTAACATCCATAGAACAGCGCCACACATTGAGCCACGCAATCCTACAGACGCACCCACTGCTTACGAATACCAGGAAAAGATGATCACGATAAATTGGGTACCATGACTGCACTCAGAACAGACCCCCTTCAAAAACAGCAATTTACCTCCACAACCAGACTGACTGTGCACGCTCCCTTGATCTCTGCGTACACACTCCCACCCAAGCCCATTGCCAGGAACTACGAGTATTTCACAGATGCCCACATGATTAATGATTTAAGTGCTGCCTGGTGTACCCCACGATTTTGCCCCCACAGCAGTGTCGTTCATCACGCGAGGAGCCGGCGGCTGCGGGACCGGGCGGGTTTGGCTCACCCACGCGCCCTATCACGTGTCCTGCAGCCGACCCTGCTGACTGGCACTCCCTGCCGTCGGACCGCCCGCCACTGCCACGAGGCCATGTCCACCGCAGCACTCGCCCGCGTGACGTCACCCGATGACGTCATGGCTCGGAGCGCGGTGACATCACACGTCGTAGAAGAGACTGGCCAGTGGGTAGCGCACGACGAACGCCACACCGCTGCAGAGCACCTGCCGAACAGAGCGCGTCAGACGGAGCGGGCGTCTGGGACAGGGGCATTCGCGGGCCACGGGCTGGCCAGGGGTGTCACAAGTGCAGGGTGAAGAGCCGCCGCCGCATGACTAAGTCCACACAGCTGAGCAGTGCGGTCAACCGACCTCGTCAAAGGTCACAGCGTCGCGCGGGACGGCAGACGAGGGGCAGACGAAGCTGACGTCGTTTCGAGGCGGCGCTCGGTGCCGGCAGCACGGCGACGTCCCATCAGCGCGAGACGGCGCCTGGAGCCCACCTGGAAGGCCAGCAGCGCGATGGTGACGCTGCGCTCATGCATGGGCCCGCTGAACTTGAGCAGCAGGTTGATGATGGTGAGGTTGTTGCAGGTGGTGATGCCGCCTTCGCCCTCAGAGGTGGCCAGGCGCACCAGGCCCAGCGTGCTGCACACCCGCAGGAAGAGCCGGCCCGGCCACGGCAGCGCCTCCAGCTGGAAGCTGGTGCTGGACATGTGCAGCAGGTCCGTCTCACAGTCGTACCTGACGACGGGAGAGAGCGTGCCACAGTCGGCTTTCGCACCGGGTCTCCCAGTGCGGTAATGGTGGACTGAAGGAGGCAGACATGTGGAGGGCGGCTACGTCGACGGTGGGCGTCAAGTCCACGCATGACGTGCAATCGTTGTTCCTGAGCGACCTGTCCTTTCTGTCAACGGAAATCGCCCCAAATGCTTGAAATGAAGGGATTGCCGCAGGGAAAACAGGACAATCATTGGCAGTACCCAATCACGTTGTGAATCCTATGTCATGGCATTCCAGAGGAAGATGCATGTAGTTCACAACTGCATGGAGTCAGTCTGGTTATGATAGCCATTACATGTTCATAGAACAACAATTACGAGATGACGCCCGAGAAAAAAGTGTGAGCGCGGAACCGACAGATGCAAGCGTGACAAATCAAGAGCCAAGCATTTGTGATTTAGCTCCGGCCGTCGGGCGACTCCTGCCCTGCCCTGCCCTGCCCTGCCTCGTACCCGAGGCGCGTCGAGCAGGCGCCGGGCTCACTTGGGCAACCGGTGTCGCGGGCAGGGCACCAGGTGAAACAGCTGCGGCACCGAGTACAGAAAGTTGGCAATCTGCGGCAGGAAGAACAGCAGCATCGTCTTGCTGAAGTGGCCGAGGATGCCGATGACGGCGAACGTCATGCCGGCGAAGTAGCAGTAGGTGTCGCCGACGAACGCCCTGGACGGGTACCTGGCGGGCGCGACGGGCGTTAGCTGCCGGCGGCAGTTCAGGGCGGCCGTACGGTCGCCAGCGGTGCCGTGCGTGTGAAGGCTGTCGGGCCAAAACCGAACAGGTGACAACTGCGTGATCTGTGTTCAGTAGTTGTATATTTTATCATCTGAGGTGATTACACACGCACGAAAAAGTCACTGATATATTCATGACCAAAAAAAGAGCGTGGCTTACTCTGACGAATCTCTGCCTGTTTCAAATGATACTGATTCTGGTAACACAAGTATAGTAGGTTTTTAGTTTCACAAAGGCACACCGTCTCGTATTTGTGTGCGCGTCAGCGGCGCCGCGACTGACCAGTTGTGGTAGAGCAGCGCGAGGCTGACGCCGAGGAAGGGCAGCAGCAGGTACAGCGAGAAGAGGTGGGTGTCGCGCAGCGGGCCGCCCAGCTCCAGCAGGTTATGCAGCATCAGCGATAGGCCGATCACCACTGACTGCCCCACCTCCAGGCCGTTGACGCCCGCCAGGATGTTGATAGCGTTCGTGCAGAACACGGCCAACATGCCCATGTACACGTAGTACAGAGGCCCTGGGCGGGGAGGGAGGCGCGGGTCGCAGCAGTTTACAGCTGTTTGATGCGGCGCGCTGTTTGACGGTACGCAGAGGCACCCAGCACAGGTTGGCAGGTTGCCAAAAAAGCGCGCGTACCACGTAACGCAGTCGGGCTAAGGCTAATGCAAACAATTTAATACAAATTCTTGCCTCCCATAAATAACAATCATATAAACTAAAACAAAGACAGGCGACAAAGATGCACAATAAATAGTGATGACTCTGGCTGAATCATTGCCTGTCTTGTGGTTTGTGACTGATTTGTGTTGCTGCAATATCCCTAAACGCCCGTTGATATCAGATCACATTACGATCCGCGTATTCCACAACCAGTGGCATCGCGATTATACCAACCCACTAATGCCATCCGCCTCCCCTGACATCAGCTATTCCTCGACCAACAATCATTACGGCGTGGAGTTCTGTTCTGCCCAATGGCACCTAATTTCTCGTCCATCTGCCTGCCGCTCTCACCGAGATTCAGGCTGAAGCCGAGGAGCCAGCGCAGCGGCTTGGGCACGATGATGATGGTCAAGTTGAAGGTGACAAAGTAGACCATGAGCAGTGGCAGTGAGGCCACGGTGGGCAGCAGCAGCTTGTGGCGCCACTTGAGCTCCAGCACGTCATCGGCGAACCCAAGGAGCAGCATACAGCAGATGGACAGCAGCGCAGCCAGCAGCTCCACAAACTGGGACAGTCAGACATCTGCTGCATATACTGTGGCAACTGACAACTGCACAGTGGCTGAATATACTGTGACAGAGGTGTGGTGGCTGTATACTGTATTGTTAGTGAGCCAGTAACCAAGCAGGGCCGCATGTTACAGTAGAGGAATGCAAGACAAGAGCAATGAAGGGCATGCACACATTTAATGGCAGGGCAAGATTGCTCACCTGCATGGATTGGGCCCAAAACAACAGCTGAGTTAACTGTGCGCAACTTTGTGTAGCACCTCCTAAATCATATGGTGTCTTGTTTTTGGCAGATCATTTATGCTGTCATTCTTCCTTTACATCAACAGCTCATGACGCCGATGATATGAAAAGCGCAGCTAATGCCGTTTGATATGGGGTGGGGGTCAATGCCCCCCCCCCCCCATTTCCAAATGAAGACAGCCGTGCGTAAAGTATTGTGGACTGGTGTCAATGAGATCTCACGATTGGTAATACCTTTCATATCGCTAGTTCAATACTTGACCTACTAAAACATATCACAGATCACATTCCCCTGAAAGACAAACTTTTTCGAGGGTGCATGCTTATATCTACGAAGCCACACACCCCTAGCAGCATGAAAGTTAAATGGCTGTATTGCTTAGATAAGACAGATTAGCCTCATTGCCCAGAGAAAAACCAGGAGAATGGAGATGTAGTTGGGTTGATATTTCGGTGACATGCATTCATCGAAACTATAGCAAAGCTGACTTCAGAAGTAAATTCACAGTGATACCAGAAGTGAATTCAAGTTTGCTATCGTTTCGATAAAGGCATGTTGCCTGAAATATCAACCCAACTATATCTCCATTCTCCTGGTTTTTCTCTGAAGAAAAAGGCCAATACTACTGTCTTATCTATGTGGATCATGTTCCTCGCTAATGCACAGAACAACTTATGTATGTATTACCTGCTTAATTCTGAGTGACATGGTATGCACGTTAGGTACGTTTTGAGCGTGTTTATGATGTTGGGTTCTGCTAATGTAACCGTGTTGGCCCGCCGTGTTCCGTCCGCAACAGGTTGCCACACACCGTCCTGCGCCGGCCCAAGATTATCGTGCCGTGTTCCTAAAAGATCATCACCTCTCAGGAATCAGAAAGACTGGATACCTTTTGTATCACATGTGCAATGTTTGCCTAAGAGGCTACCAAAAATTTGGACGTGACCACACAAGATGCCAAAGAGGTATCCTCAAAAACCTTATGGGGGAGAGGGTCTCGCATCGGATCCCTTAGCCCCCCCCCCCCCCCCACGTCAGGGTGAGGGTTCTGCAAAAAAGAGATTCCTGTTTGTACTGGCAGGATACTTAACAAAAATGCATTTTCTTTGCTCCATAAGATGTCTTAACACTTGTTAAGAGGGCCCAATCCCATCAACAGAGCCTGGTGAGAATGTTATTTTCTAGGGTTAAAGAATGTTAATGTTTTGTGACAGAGATGTCATTCATCGCACATTTGTGTTCGAAGCAATTCCTTCACCTGGGTGCATGGGTCACTCATGCTTTGTTAGCTGCAGATACAAAGCAAGCTTATTTTAGGTTCTATATGTGCAGAAAGCCTTTTAGCCTTATGCTACGTAAATGGTACAGAGGTGTGAATCATTATCAGCCTTGAGAAAACCAGACAAGAACTTACTGCACCTGCAGAGGCAGCGAGGATAGAGGCACTGCAGCCAGTACCATTAGTGGCTGAGCCCATGCCCTGCAGGTTAGACTGTAGACAATGATGCATGACATACACATGAATATACAGATATTTAAAAAGAACATTGGTGATAAAAAACCCACACAAAGTATAATGTACACAGGTGCATGAAAGAACATGGAAACTTATAGCTAATACCAGATAATGAAGGAACACTCCAACATTATATGATGGACTCTAAAAAACAGCTCAAATGAACACAGAATACAGAATATTCAGAAATAAGAATAGTCCTGCCGACAACTTATCACAGATACATGGAAACAGGAAGAAAAACAGATGAGAAAATATGCTAGCTTGTCTTCACCACTGTGGTGCAGAGTTTAGACTAACAGAAGTAAATGCCCCTACTTTGCAAGACAAATCACCTGTATTTCATATGACAACAAAAAGTTCAAACCTTCTCATGTGGAAAACCTTCTTGACTGAAGACAATGTAGGTTCCAAAAGGGATGGGTATAAAGATGAAGATGGTTATTAAGTAGATGCAGCCACAGACTATTCCCATTGCCTCTGGGCTGGAAAAGGGCAAACAGCATGAATAATTAGCTGATAACAACTTACAGTTAGCTACATAAATGTATCTCAACCTCAAAACATGGTAGTCTGATTACCCACACATATTTAATCAACCTGTATTTGAGCTCCTAGGTACACATCAGAATGACCTGCTCATTGCAACATGCCCACACAGACCCTGATATAGGCAAACATTTACAGCAAAAGTAATATATAAATCAAGTATGCACATCACTGAAGCATGTTGAAAACTAGTTTGACAATATGATATTACAAACAGAACATGCATTCAGGGCATACTTCAAGAAATTTGGAGTTAATGTACCAGCCACTACAGGCAAGTGTGGCAAACACCCTCAATTACTATACCCACTGCAACTCACATTTTCTTGCTCTGTCTTTTGCTCATATCTACGCCGCAAAGGTTGGCCCTAATGAATAGATGTCCCATCCCTGGTATTGCCCTCAATGTTGCTAAAAATCCCCCAAAGGATAGTATAATGTTTACTATTAACTGAATCGTCCAATCCATGCCGGGTTTCTCTTGGGGACGTTTATAAATACCAGCAAAAGGGCCCAGCCCACGAGTGATTTTCTATTTACACGTCACGGACCGGCGAGTACTACCCGATTTCGCACTTACCGCGTCATAAATGTCTAGGATTGCGAGCGCCAAATCGATTCCAACTTGGATAGTTTCTTGCACATTCTCACTTTTTGTGAGGCGCATTTTTAACCCACGCTGTAGACTTCTGTCCTCAAGACGACTCAAGAGGTCATCGAAACGATGAGGTGCTGTCCGGCACAAACGGAATGGCTCGAAAACCACATCTATGTTGCAAAATGAGCAATGGGGCCGAGACGAACACTGTCGATAAACAATGATGTTTATATGAAATGTGAGGGTCGCAAGATCGTTTATAATAGCCCAAAACCCCAGGCGATTTTGAGGCATCCAACAATCAGAGGCTTCATGATGATAGAGTGTCATGGTCTTGGGCTCCATCGCATGGATGTGGGAAGGGGATTAGCTCCAACTGTCGGGAAAACATGCATTTATCAGCTCTGGACTACAAATAAAAGTCACTCGTTCGTTGCAACATGACAACACAACAGCAATTTCGGTAGCCGTAAGTATTCAGTTTAGAGACATTCAGATACAACTAGAAGAGGCTGTTCAGCTCGTTTTCGTACACTGGCACATTGAACAGACCAACAGTTTTCACTTCTCAACTTGCAGCGGTCTGACGATGTATTGCGTGTAGGAATTTTGGCTTTTTTCCGTCGTGCCCGCATGTTAGTGTTGTGTTCGCGTCGCATCAGATTTCAGCCACAGTATCCACGACATCCCCTGATCGCTGTGAGAAATGTCCCACACCCATACCCGCACCTCCAGCATATGCCTGATAAAACACAGTTTTGTCAAGTCAAAATATATCGATGGCGTTTCTATATCCATACCAAGATGTTTGGTATATGATATCAAACGACTGATGGGTTGTCTGAAAATATGTCATTCGTCCTGCCATCATCACCTAATGCGGTGGCTGCATCACGTTCCATTTGATCCGTCTGTCCATGCTGGTTTGTTATCTGGTTTGTTTTGGGGCGCGTGGAGCTATTTGAGGTCCACGATTGTTGGCGTACCGATAACATCAGGCGGGCAATGTGCGACTGAGGCATTCGATATAGCAACAGCCGATGTACGGTACACTCGATATCTGCGAGCAGCCGATGCTCCATTCACAAAACACCAGAAATTGCAATGTCTTCAGTCAGTGGTATTCACTTTCATTCCCATGCCAGAGCTAAAAAAGAAGGGCTCGAAAATCCTGAGTTTTTCCGGGCATGGATCTGGAGACTGAACCCAGATGCCCGTGGTAGTGGTTGGCTTTGCTATGTTCCACCTGGATGATTTAGTTTTAGGCCTTTGGATTATTGATTTCCTTAGCTTGCTTTGACGTCTAACATGCGCTCGGGTGGGGTCAAATTCCCTCCCCCCTCCGAAGGTTTTTCTGGAATAGTTTCCAAATGGCGCGGCGTAGCCGCGCCAAATCTCGCATGGCTGTAGGCAATCGAAAAGCGGATCGCTTGGTACGAAAAATGTAGATGCACCACGTAAGGCCTACAGCAGGTCAAAGTCAGGCAACAGATTCAGCAAGGCAATTTCTGGGGAATCTTTCAATCTGATGCACCAACGGAGTGTTAGGCGAAGCAATACATCTCTGAGATACTTTCCTGGACAGCACAACAATTGAATGAACAAAGTCCATTGGTCTAGGGTCAGGTATGAAGGTTTAACCAAGGTCAAAGCCAACCTGTTTTATTACCTAAGGGTTTGCTGTATGGAGTAGTTCTGGTGTTCATTTCAAATTTGTTGATTACAGGAACCGCATTATACATCTTTCATAGACCTCGTACAGGTATGAATACGTCACTGACCTAACATGACCCAAGTCAAATTTTTGTTTTCACATTTGCTACCGGGCGGAATCTTTTTCGTTTATTTAAATACAAAACTCAACGCAGTCTTATATGATTTTGGTTACTATGACCTTCAAAAGCTCAAACAAGGTCACTGACCCTAAATGAACATGTGATCTCTTGTTTAGAACAGCTGTCCAGGCTCTGGGCGCACTTAAGAGATCAAACTGGAGTTTAACCTTGTTTGAATTTATTTCATTCCAAGGTCATGATCTAGGAACCTCAAAAATTAACCTTGGTGAGCTTGCGTACAGACCAACACACCCTGTGAATTTCTCTAGCTCTTTTGATGCCTGAGATATAAGGGGAGATAACAGAGTTCAAATTGACACCCATTCGAGCGAAGGGTATGCAATCGGCCACCCGGGCGCATGTTAAAATATCCACGCAATATATATGCGCCATGGACATGCTATCCATCGCTTGCTTTTCCACCACAAGAAGCCTTTTAAAGATAGGAAATCGCTCGCAAAATTTGTAACTCAGTGGACAACTGCATTACATTCCGATCACAGCTTTGCCGTCAGTTGACAAAGCCTTGTAACTGAAGGCACTCCTTGTCTTGGTAACGGAAGCAAGTTTTCCGATAGTTGAAACATTCTGACTCCTTCCTTAAGTTAGTTTTTGGTAAGGTTCACATCGACTTTGTGCTGCGCTGGTCATTGCCGCTGTTTACGACATTTTCTTGAAGGAGTTGCTCACACGACACGTTTGTCGGCAAAGCAAATCAGGCGAATTTTGCACATGTAGCCAGGCGACAAGTTATTTCCCTTACTTCATAGGCATGTTTCAAGTGCCTCTAATCATGTTGTGTTTTGAGTTTCAGGTTCACGCTCATCACGGTGTCTAACCCACGGGTCTTACAACAGGCAGCATCAAGCCGCCCCTCACTGGCTGGTTGAATGAGCTGCAATGTCGCACAAGTGCTCTCGTCAGCACGAGTGTGCCAATCGTGGCGAGTGACTCCTCATCCGATCCATCTGTCAACAGTTTGCTGCGTGATTAGAGCATGACATCTGCCCCACGGCCAAAGGAATCAGCGCCGTCACCTGATCCCCAGTTCTCCGGCTTCCTGTAAATTACGGAGCATGACCGTCCGCCAGGGCCGGCCCGGTGAGACCCAGAAAAACGCCGGCTGACGGCGTCAGACCTGGCATGGTATTTGGGTCACACAGTTGTTGAATATACGCCTGTCAAAGTTCTGGATTTTGTGCGGTGCTGCCTCATCGCGTTTGACATTTTGCTCCAGCACACCAGTCGTCGAATCAGCATAGGTTTACTCTCTTCCTGCCGCGGCAGGTGACAAACGATTGACACTGGCGAAGGCCACATGGGCCCAAAGGCATCTCTTATTCAAAGTGTATGTTGACCTTATTCCATAACAAATTGGTGTGTTATAAAACAAAACAGATGCTTAGAGGCCTTCGCAGCGTGTTACAATAGCTTGTCGGTAGTGCCGCTATTGCCATTCCGGCCCACATTTTATACCTTTTGTTCCTGCTTTGTACCTATTGGAAACGAGTTTGTTTGATTCTTTCCGCCCAATATTTGTTGCCTTCCCAAACGAAACAAAGTTTTCGTTAAGGTAACCCGCACCTTCACTGACCACACAAAGTCCTCCGCATACCCCCAGATTTCAGAACATTTGAGCTGTCTTTGAGGTTTGACTTCCTCCAAGAGAAGAGTGGTGGCCGCACGCTCTCCGGAAGAGCCTGGTGAGACGTTGGGAAGACATCTGTCGGCTGAAGCGGGGTGACCCGCGGAGCAGGATAGTGTTGGACATCATAGCTGTCCTCGAATGTCTGCAGGTCATAAAAAGGAAGGAAAAGTGCAACTCAAAATAGTGATAAATACACCTTTGATAAAGACACAACATGCTGAGAGACTTGAATTATTTCGCCTTTTGTTTTCGTCTGGCTATCGAGTGCGACTAAGAGCTGGCCGCTATTGCAGTGGTGTGGCCCAAGTTGTAGAGCCGTTCCGGCGGCTAAAATGCATCGCTACATGAAACACGGGCAAGCCGTCCGAACGCGCTGTGGTGCTGCTTCGTGCCTGTGAACGTCTGATACCATATGACGGACCTAAAATAGCTGTGTTTTGGTCGCACGTATCATAAGCTCTATATTTCCATAAAGGACCATGACATGCCATCTTCCTCAAGCTTTTGACCAACAATGAAATATGTCTGGGGATTACACATATCAACACTGTAAACTGTAGGCTGCTCGTACTATTCACTGAGGCGTCAGGTAAGATATTTTAAAGAGGGAGCTAGCAAAGTGTGTCCCTGCTCCGTACCGGCTTAAGGTATGTCGAGACCGTCTAAGCGTATCAAAAATGCTTGCTTGTGACACGGCCATAAAATCTAACACAGCCACTGGCCTCCGGAATTGTGGGAGCAGGTCTTTACCGGTTCCCGTGATGTGTACTGTGTGCACATTCGGCCATCTTACGGCGTCAACATACATCGAGACATGCATACAGTGCGGCTCAGAACAGCCTACGAATG